ACAAAAAAGCACAACTAAATCTGAAGCTTCGAGCAATATTTTAAGTCCTTGTTCCAGCTGTCGATGAATACAAAACGTGTGCACTTGTGTGAAACAAATGAGTCATGAGAATTTAACGTTTAAGCAGCTTATCAGATTAGTGTCGACACTTTCAACATGCCTGGCTGAGCGGCTGCCAGAGACACACTGACATGTGGTCAAATGTGAAACCGCTTGTCTCTAAAGTGCATTCATACATTCATACTTCATACACAGAAATGTGCTTTAATTTAAAACAAGATGGATCAAAACAGAACTTTTTGGTCATCAGACTAAATGCTGTGGTAGAATGGACACCAAATCACAGACACACCGTCCCCACTGAGAGGCACGGGGGTGGCAGCATCATGATGTGGAACTGATCCAGTCTCTAGTGAACTGACTTGTGTGAAGGTTTGTTCTCCAGCCTGTGCTGGTCTTACCCAGCAGCGGTCCCAGCCAGTACACTAAGCAGTAGTCCAGGAAGGAGTGTCCACTGCAGGGGAACTGTGTGGAGAAGGCCAGCGCTGGGTTGAACACTGCTCCTGTCACACTGCCGCCTGGAAACACAAAACACAAGAGATCTACAGAACATCTGTTCATGAAGGTACAGCTGCTGTAGAACAAAGAAGCAGCTTCAAGAGCAGAGAGAAGGTCTTCCAGTCTGACCAGTATGAGCCCTATCACCAGTATGACCAGTTCATATGACCAGTACAATCAGGGTGTATCACCAGTATGACCAGTTCATATGACCAGTACAACCAGGTTGTATCACCAGTATGACCAGTACAACCAGTGGATGTGAGTCTGTGATCACTTGAGGAACTTTACCTGCGTACACCACTGTAGTGATGGTCGCGGCTACCGCGTGCACGCGGTATTTCTCCTCCACCGACCGCGTGTGCGTGATGACGGTCTGAACCGCGAAGGCGCACGCGAGCTCCACGGCGGCGGCCTGCGACAGGGGCGCGTGAATGGGGCTGATGCACCGGAAACCGAGCAGCTTGTGCCGCGCGTGCAGCCCGGACAGCCCGATGCTCCACAGCACCGGGACCGCGGCTCGCGCAGCCACGGCAGCGGCGAACTGACACACGATCCGCCGCAGTGCGCACCCGCCGGAGAGCTGCGCGCGGTACGCGTGCTCGAGCGCACCGGACGGGTTCCCGATGGCGCCGCTGAAGGTGAGCCCGTGCACCACGGCCGCTACGTACGTCAAGGTGAGCGCGAGGCGAGGCTCGATCCCGCCGACCTCCGACAGCAGCTTGAGCTCGTGCGTGCAGCAGCACAGCTGGAAGGTGGACACGAGCTCCACCGCGTACACCGACAGCCCGGTGTGCGCGAGGGCCCGAGTCAGCAATCTGCGGGTGGCATCGCTCAGAGCCACGATCCCGGCGAGCAGCGACAGAGACACCGCCACGTCCGCGCTCATGTCTGCCGGCTGTCCGCGCTCCCTGCCGGGGACTGACGCTGCCTTCGGCCGCTGAGGACTCCGGATCAGGAGGATGGAGGTCTGCGGTGCTGCGGCTGCTGCTCCGCCCGGAGGATGCTGCTCCACCCGGGAACAAATGAGCTGCAGTCCCGGTGGCTCACATGGTGCGGAAGTGGCTGACCTCCGCAGTCTCCTCCTCTCAGCTTTGTTTCTGCTCTTCTCTGCTTCATCTCTGGACTCTTCCTCTGAGTCAGTCCCTGTCACATTAGGTCCACACTTCTTTGTTATTTGTGAAATGTGAGTGTTTCATGTCAGACCGGAGTGTTTCTGTCACCAAAACAACGAAAACTTTGCCCAACACACACACACACACAGAGCCCGTGAGCACCAGTTTTGTGAGTCCACGTCAGCATTTTGTCAAAATAGCAAAAAACAAACAAACAAACAAACAAATAAAACTCATCCTGTCATATTTTCCATCATCAGGTTCTACTGATGTTTGAGCCTCAGCAGTTGGTGAAATGTGACCAGAGACTGTATTTTAGTAGAAATGTGGATAAATCCATATAAACACGAACCTTTCTGGGGATCAGTACCTCCTTGTGGCCTCTGCTGGATCCATTTATTCATCTGGATCTGATGGACTCTGTTCTGTCTGAGTCCTCCATAAAGATCAAAGCTGTGGAATCTACATTTACATTAAAATGGCTTCACAGGTGAGAAGTTTACTTCAGTTTATTAAAAAACAAACAAAGCCAATGACACTAAAGTCTCAGTGTAAACAAACGTAGTAAATAATCAGGACAATATTCAACTTGTGGCTTTTTAACATGTTTTCTTTAACAAAACAGACGATGAACGTCTGTCCTGTTGCTTCTACAGTTGGAGCGTTTGGGCCTGCGTTGTGCTTCTGGATGGATATTAAGGTCAAACTTCTGACCTTCTGGGTTTAAAATAAAACGAAACATAATCCCGTTTCCTGTTGTCTCTGCTCTGAGTGCCTGACCTGAAACATCAGAGCAGTTTGTTCTCTCTGCAGAATAAAAGTCAGAAAGTCATTAAGTGCAGTATTATCTGTACTTTAACAACAACAGATGAAAAATCATAAAAACCACACTTAAAAGTGATTATAATTCAGTAAACAGAGAACAGTAACATTTTAAAAGAACAAATGATTATTTGTGAAAAAGAAAAAAAAAACGTGTAAAAATACAGATAGCA